CAACTTGGGGTCGAGCTTTCCAAGAACTCGTGTTAGTGCTCACTTTTGACCAAAAAGGATGCACCAGCTTCTCAGCATTTGTCGTTTGGGCTGTAAGAAAAATTGTTTCCTGTATAAATTGACTTGTGTTTAGTTTTGGTGTTCCTAGTAATTTAGAGTATTACCAGCTTCGATCTTGAATTGATTTGCTTAGATGGGATTAGCGTTTCGCTTGCATTTTTAGATGCCAACGTTATGTTTCGCCAATGAAGGTCAGCTCCGCAATGTGGGTGAGAGGGTGGAGCTTTGGGTGGTTGGGCATTGCGGCTGCAATGGCTGCAAATTAAAATTCATTTATTGTGCCAAAAGTTATGCAAGATTTGTACATATCCGATCTGTTTGTGTGGGCTGGAATTTTATAATACCGAGTGGCACTCGCCAACACGTGGCCAAATAATTACACAAGCGCATGGGGCAAATGAAAAAATTAATTTAAGTGCAATGTCGGTGACTAGCACAAATCCCGGCTCATCAATTTGGCCTGCTAAAACGACACAAGCCAAATTTATTTTGGCCAAACATAAATCTGCCAGCGCACAACTCGGTTAAACAAAACCAAAAGTCACAGTTACACAGACACACACATGCACAGACACACACACACACACCCACAGTGGCAGTGAGAAGCTTACATTGCAGGACATGTCTAATTTCTCACGTGATTTAACGATGAAAGGAATGTAGTTTCTTGGCTGACTACGAGATACCCTATAGTAGAAAACGTAGTACACAAAAAATCATAAAACTGTGTGTATTTCTCTCGGACAGATATTTACCTAAGCTAGTTCCTCTTTAAAGCCAATTACGCTCTGTAACAGAAATGTAAGAAAAAGAATATGAAAGTTAAACTCTTTGTAGAATATGGTTTCTGAGGAACTTAACTAATGTTACGGGTGGAATACAAATACTAATCACAACTTTTGTTTGAGCTCTTAAGTATAAAACCCTGCGAGTTTTTCTTGAAGAGATACATTTACACACACTTTTTGCCAAGTGTAGTTTTTAAAGAGATGTAAAGAATGCCTCTTTGTAGAACGTGACTGCTCATGAGCTGCTGAATAACTTTAGTAATAGCTTTAGTTTTTAGGTAAACATCTTAAATTTATAATTTTAAGGAAATAACAATCTTTCACTTTCTGTTTTGCTTTTACACTTGCAGTGCAAACAAATAAAATACCTCTGGATGGGTTTGTTTCCAAAAAACAAAACCAAACGAACAAACAAAAAATTTTCAAATGAAACAAACAATACAATTGTTTGCTCTGCTATCTGGCTGCTCCCATTGTGTTTTTGCCATTGCTAGCGTGAGCGCATAAAGGAAAAGTGCTTAAAAAATAACAGTAAATTACACAAGCACAAGCACAAGCGCCACGCCAAGCGGCACGCCACGCCCCCATTTCACCGCCTCAGCGATGCATGACGAGCTTGCATACTTTTAGGGACAGCTGATTTAATTCCGCGCCAGAGGATGCCATGCGGGCCACAGCCACACAGAACTGCCGCTTGCTCCTGCCAATCGGTGGAAGCCCTGCGCCGGGGGGTGCTCGGCTGCGCAGCGCAATTTGCAACGTTCCAACCGCCGCTGCACCTGACGCTGTGACTCAAGCTAAACACGCATACCCCGGCGTGGCACACAAATTGCGGGTGGAGGAGCTGTCGAGGGTGCAGATGGATTCTGGTTGGGGCTGGCAGGCTCTTTTGTGTAGCGCACATCATGCATTTATATGAGCGGAATTTGTAATACAAGTGTGTGTTTAAATGGTTTTCGGGCAGAGAGTGTTTCCTAATCTGATTTGTGCCAAATTGCAGACAAATGCATTTGGATACTACCGTAATGAATTTTTGCGAAAATTCTTTTTGTTTTCCAACTACAGTGTTAAAGCTAAATGTATGTAAAACCATATAGTGATATGTACATGAAATTTGCCACTGTAGGGCATTTTGTTGTCTCTTTGACTAAAATAAATAATAATTGAATTGATTATTATACCCTGAACCCATTAAAAATGGGTATAAGGGTATATTGTATTTGTGCAAAATCCAAATGTATGTAACAGGCAGAAGAAAGCATCTCCGACCCCATAAAGTGTATATATTCTTGATCAGCATCAATAGCCGAGTCGATCCGTCCGTCCGTATGTATGAACGCAAGGATCTCAGAACATATAAGAGCTATAGACTGGAAAGTTTGTTTCCGATAATCGATAACTTACTCCGTTTCCAAGCAATCGATAAAAATCGATATCGATATCCTGTTTTTTGGGCAATTTTTGTAAATAATAAGAGCTAGAGTCACCACACTTGACATATAGCTTCTAAAATAGAATATATATATGCAATTGATGTTGGAAGAAGAGGGTTCAGGGTATCCCCTAGTCGAGAGCTCTCGACTAGAGCCTCTTACTTGTTTTTTGATTACATTGCTTTAATATATCCATGAAGTAGCCTGATTCTCGCCTTACACTTGTCAGCTTGCATTTAATTCAAGGAAGTACTCTGCTTGAAATGCTTTCAAGGATATTACGACTTTTTCGTTTCTGCCAATATCTGATCTTTTTTTGCAGCTTGATAGCAAAGTCAGCTCTTGCCTGGTTTCTCAAACGTCATCCTAATGGCGGCCACTACTCGAGACTTTCATTATATTCGGTCTTTCTTTGGTCTATTCTTTTGTGCAGCTCTTTTGGCCAGCGCTTGTTATTGTTTTGTTTCCTCGGCTATTGTTGTTGCGCTGCTGAAGCAACACTAAACAATACGGCGAAATTACTTAATTTCATGTTGGTCTAATCAAGTTGCCATTGCCGAGCGCCAACAGCGACTGTGCGGCTGGCACGGAAGGCCGCACAAAAGCGTGCAACGCGAAGAGCATGAGAAAAGTGTGTGCAGGTGCGGATTGCCAGCAAATAACGTGCCGTTGCCGTGCCAAGCACACATGTGTGTTGCCTGTGAGCATACACTTACATATATGCTATGGAGACCCCGAAGCTAACTGACTGCTGCCATCTTTTTTTGTTTTGCTTCTGTTTTATTTTTTTTGGGCCACCGTTTAGTGGCCGCTCATTTATGCCCCAAGCAGCAGCGAGAGGCAACAACAACACGAAATAGGTGGACAGCTAAACGCTGACAACAACAACCAAAACGAAAGCACAAACTGTGCAAGGCTTGCTGCCATTTAACATCTGGCCTGGGACTCGGCCTGGGCCTGGGCCTGTGCCTGGGCCATGTTAATCTGAAAGTGTGTCAATGTCGACATCCGTTTCCTTTTGCCAAGGTAGCAGCCGGCTGCAGAAGCTGAAGGGAGAAGCTGTTATAGCTGCACTCATATGGCCACTTGAGATGCAAACAGGTAAAAGGACCACAAATTTAAGCATTTGTCTACTCCAACACGCACCGTCGCTCACCCACACACACACACACACACACACACACACACACACACACAAGAGCTTGGCATGAGAACGAAATGAAACTAGGCGAAACATTGGTAAAATGGTCATCCGCAATGGGCAGCAACAGCCGCAGCGAACGTTTTGGCAATGGAACACGAAATTGGCGCAGCCTGTGCAATCTTCTTGTTGTCTTTTTTTTTTGGCCACTGCGCAGCGGGCGCGCTTTTCTGTTGGCCACTTTTTCATGCTGATAAATTGGCAGCGACATTTCAGCAAGAGTTGACAATTACCAGCGCATACATGAGCTCATCTACTGTGTGTTTGTGTGGGTGTGTGTGCCTGTGTGTGTGTGTGTGTGCCTTGTATAATTAAAAGCAAGAATACCAGGCATGAAATTGTTTTGCTTAAATGCCTTTGACTGCCACTGCAGCCGGTTGGTGGTCTACATTTGGATATGATCGAGTGTGAATGCGCCACAACTTTAATTATGCTGCCAAGTGGCACGTCTGTGTGTATGTGTGTTTGTGTGTGTGTATGTGTGTGTCAAGGCTTTGCTTAAATTTGTCCAAAACATTTGTACATTTTGATTTGTTGCATTTCTGGCCATGCACTGTGCCAAATGCAGCCATAAGATATGCTATGAAAAACGATTGAGTTGCATTCAAAACTGGCTGTTTTTAGAAAATATCCGAATTCTACAATTGAAGAATGTTTTTCTATAATAAAATCAGACAAGGCTAAAACACGTTGCTGACTGACATAATTGCTGACTTTATCAAAATATTACTATTTATTCTTTTTAGCACATTTCCATTTCCTTGAAATTCGTTTTCCTCTTATTATATAATATAGCCGTACAAATAAATTAATTCCAAAAGCATCATCGTTTCAGACACTTCTTCTCAAACATGTCAGTCAATCAAAACCGAGTATCTTATCTACTTGGCCACCCGTGCGATAAGATTAATCTGTCCGTGAATAAGCACACACAAGAATACATACATGATGCATGAATAACAACTACAAATTAGACAATTTGAACGCAATTTGAAACTCTTTAATAAACGCCTAGGTCTAAGTATACTAGGTTCTATATCAGCTCGATTGCTTTGAAATAAATGAAAAAAAGAATTTAATTAAATTAACAATTTTTTGCAAGTGTTTAATCTCCAAATATCTAGCAGACCCCAAAAATGCCGCATGCTGTCCTGTACGGCTGCACGTGGTAGAAAAATAGACTGCACACACATACAGAAACACACACACACACACACACACACACACACATACAGCGTTGCAGTCAGGAGCGACAAGTGCAGCGCAGCGTCGACAGCGACGCAGACGCAAACGCAGCGATAAGATAAAACGTGCGATGACAAAAAGCACCCAAAGCGACCCACGACGACGATGACGACGACGAGGGAAGCCGAAGTTCTGCAACGAGGCAACTGCGACTGCGACGCCGACGCTGACGCCGATGCCGATGCCGATGCCGATACCGATGCCATGGAGTGGCTGGCTGTTGGCTACTGTTGCTGGCGCTGGTCGCTTATAAAAGCGGCTGGCTCGGCACGAGCGAGCATCACAAAACATTGAAGCGCGTTGCCGAGCAGACAAGCACAAAGTGGAGGCCACATAGACATCTACATTAGCAGCCGCAGCCACAGTCAGAGTCAGAATCAGAGTAAACCAACGGTAAAGTGAAACAATAACACTAGCTGTCGCCGCAGCTTGTGTGCGTGTGTGCGTGTGTGTGTGTGTGTGTGTGTGTGTGTGTGTGTGTATGTGCGAGTGCGAGTGCATTTGTATTTGTGTTAAGAGTTTCCGTTACAAAAATAATGCCACAATTTCGAAAATACATTTCAAAAACCGACAAAAGAACAAGAACAAACCACAAGTAACGAGCACAAGTTGTTCAAAGAAGAAGCATAACAAGGATGCCTTACATGGCCATCCCAGCAGGAACCCACCAGCATAGTCAAGTAGCCTGGCTGTCAGTTTTCTAAGGAGCTTGCGGCCCACCTGGCAGCCCTTGTGCAGTCCGCCTCATCATTGTGAAGAGCGAAAACTTAACAAGTGCAAGAAACGATGCTTTTGTAATGAATTCATTCAAAGTGTTGACGGCCAAAGTTTTCTCAAAAAGTTTTCAAAACAAAAAATACAGAGTAAGAACACAGAACTATATGCAAGCAGTTCTGCTCAAGGATCCTCGTCCTGTCCCGGTTTGCTTGGTCGACTAACCACTGTCGCCAGCTCCGTGTGCGCCGCAGGCCTAAACCAGCGCCACGGGCTCCCGTTTTCATTCCCTTTTTCGCTCCCGTTTTCACTGGCTCCATCTCTCTCTCTCTCTCTCTCTCTCTCTCTCTTGCATTCCCTGGTGTCTGTTGTTGCCCACTAAATTAAATGTAAATTAATGCAAATTACACAAAATTACTGCGGGCCGCACAATGCAACAACTGCAGCAGTTGCTGAATGCAGTTGCTGTCTGCCCCCAACCTATGGTCTGCATCAAAAGATAAAATACAGTCGCATTGTCTATTATTTTAAATTGGCTGCGCAAATTTGCGGCATCGCAAAAGTAATTAGCGACCATTGTAACTGTGCCACAGATAAGTAGGTGGACACAGAATCCGAAATAAAGAGCAGCCCGTGCAGCAAAAGAGACCGTACAGCTTGTCACTCATACTTAAGTAGAACGAATTTATAAGATATGTTCTTAAAGGTTGATACAACAAAATTACGAATGCCCCGCGCGTCAGCTCTCTATTCTCTCTTTCTAATATTATAGTATTATCCGTGTGGGACATACGACAGACAATTTGAGAATATTATTAGAGTTGTAAAAAATTATATATATATATATATTATATATTTATCGTGTCTATCTAAAGGAAGAGAGCTTACAATAGTTCAACAATACTGATAATAGAAATAATGAGATAATCATAATTAAGGTCTAGCAATGTAATCAAAGACAAAACATTTCTCAGAAAATTTTCTGAATTAGTTTAGCTTTATAAAGAAATTGTAAATACTGGGAATTGTAGGCATTCTGAATAGGCAATTATGCTGTGTTTGTTGATTGATCAGTGGATCAATTAAAGTGAATCGAAAGCAAATTGCAATAGTTGAAACTCGATAGCCAGAAAATTCTGTACTATATTCGAATCTCAAGTTTCTTTTCATTAAATGCGACGAATTTTCGAGTTGCTTTGAAGCCGTTCGAATCTGTGATAAACGACCTATACTATATACAATTGTCAATGAAACTGCTGAACTTTGTTTTCTTGACTTAAGCTAAAAGTTACGAAAGTTCAATTCTGACATAATTAAAATAAGTGCAATTGTGCAACTCCTGCCAAGGCACACCCAGTTTAACGCAAACACTTAAATTGATGTCCAATCTCATTTTTTAATGGTCCTGACAAATACGTCGTTTATTTAGTTGAGGCTCTAGCAAAATGTCAATTAAAAGTTTTATGGCTTATATTGGCCAAATAATAATAGCATCGATGATAAATGTTAATGGGCAGCGTGCCATAAAAATGAACACAAAAATTGGCACCAGTATTTCCGTTATTAGGAGCTGAATCTGGCTCTAATTAATGAGACGGGCTGCCATCGACTGGGCCAAAGCCACAACCGCTGGGAAAACCGTTTTGTGGCTTGGTTCGCCTGGTTTTTATGCACTGGCGCATGAGTATTGATATTGTCAATTAATGCGCCTTGACACAAGCCTCCAAACATAATAAGCGAATAATGAATGGGGCTGCAGTTAAGGGTCAGGGGGAAGTGTAAGGGCAAGGGCAAAAGCGAGGGGAAGTGGAAGTGAGCACCGGAAATGCGTTAATTTTAATGAAAACATTTTGAATTGGCAGCAGCAGCAGCAACAAAACAAATTAGAGCGCAATGTTGAATTTCGTTCACATGTCGTATTGTCGACCGCACCACGTGGCGTATGCGTAACGTGCAAATTTTTCGCAGAAAAGCGCGAATTCAATTTGCGCACATATTTAATAATTAATTTCAGTTGAACATAAAATACGCAACGGTCTATTAAAAGGCTTAAAATTTCATTTTCAATTTCCAACTCGAATAACGCACTCGAATGCAAATGAAAGCCAATTCCATTGGTGACACATTTGCCTTAATTCCATCTGTTCGGGCGGCTTACAGGATGCACACGACGTGGCAAATGAATGAGCGAAAAAAAAAATGTGAAAACCTATTCGCTGCCTGCTGCAATTAAAATAAAAAGCGCGTTAAACTCAATTTCATTTATTTATTTTTTCCAATGCTTTGAGTTAACTGAATCCAATTTTCCTTTTTGTACTCTCAATTTACCCAACCCATTTGATAGTTGACACATGCGTGGGCAATTAATAAGCTCCGACTGACAGGTGTTTCCATATGTGTATGTGCGTATGTGTGTATGGTAAATATACTTATTTAACCACATTCTAAATGACAGTGCGACCATAATTTATTTAAATGTTCGTTAAAAAAAATGCCATTGAAAATGATTTGAGTCTAGGAAATACACCAGAATTTACAATTATATGCATACAAAATTATATAATTGTCATCTATTAGAAGCAGAGAGACAGTTATATAAAAAATATGTGCACATCATTGCAGCACAAAAGAAGCGGAGAGTCGCTTAAAGTTAGAGCAGGAGAGGTAAGGAGTAATAAAAAGCAGTGATAAGGTCAATTAATCAAATAATCATGAGAATCACATAGAAGGGTAATGTTTGAAAATAGGTTATTCTTTAATTTACATAAAAGTATAGTTAGCTTATCTCTCCCACCGAATAGCTGCTTATTTTAAAATATGACCTATATTGCTGAAGACACTTTATATATTCCCTCAATATCTTAAAACTCCTCACATTTCTTAAGGTTTTATGGTCGAGGTAATAAGTTCTTTAACCAGGTTTCATCAATATTTATGGAACAATAAAAATAAGAGGACTTGAGCGAGTTTTATGCTTTTCATACCAATTCAAATAATAATATTAGCTTAGCACTAAACAAACCGTCTTGACGGCTCGCCAATTGCAAATGGTTCTGAAGGCATAGCAAAAATGTTTATTGTTCTTCGTCAAGCATCTGGCGCAGAGACAGGAGCCATTTAATTTAATTCCAAGGTGCATTATTATAAAGGAAAATAGTTTTGCACAGTCTTTCTATTTTACGGTCATTCCAGTTTGGCTGGCAGCCCATCAGCCAGCAGCTCGAAGCCATCGGCTTCTCGGCTTCAGCCTCACCGACTTAATCCGCATTCTCATCCACATCCGTATCCGCATCTGCGGCGCTGTCGCTGTCGTTGTCGTTGTCATCATGTTCATTGCATTGCGCGCCTTCCACTTGACATCCTGGCTGCAATTTCCTTGTTGTGAAATTATGCTTTTGCTTTGACTTTGCCGCCGTGCGATGGGATGATAAATAAAACAGCAGACGGCTGCAAGGTGATTCGGTAGCTTGGCCAACGTAAACTAAAGTAAACAGTTGCTGAATGCAGTCCATGGCCACGCCCAGCCGCCCAGCTGCAGCCCACCCACGGCCACAGCGATTAACGGCGTGGGAACAAATGCGAAATGAGCTGTTTCAGGCTGCCAATGACCATGCCCATGTGCGATGAAGCTGTTGAGCCGTGGTTTTTATGCCACATGCCACATGCCAACCTGCTGACATGAATTGCACTGATTCAGCCTCTGGCCTCGTTGGCTGTTTGCTTTTGATTGAAGGTTAAATGAGCCATGCCACGCAAGGCTGACATATTTACTGCACACCGACCCAGATCCCCTAAACGCAGCATTTGCATTGCGCGCATCCTTTGTGCATCCTTAGACAGTCTTATTTTATTTCCTTTAGCTGAATTAGCTGGCATCAACCAAACCAAAGGGGTGCCTCAAAAGGCGGGCAGCCTGTCAGTGAGGCAGCCCGATGTGTGCTCTGGCGTATTTCTTTTTTTTTTTTACGAGTCAACAGCGGGCCAAGATTTAGCTGTCTGACACGCCCGTTTAAATGATGCCGCCCCTAATTGAGTGCACTTTAAATTTGAAGACATTTTCCACTTGCAGTGCGCTTTATTTGCCAATTTTTTTTTATTGCTCTTCTCTTTAACTATTTCGTTATCCAATTTTCCATTTACGTTTGCTTGCAGCTGTCCCCGGGCGAAGACATCACAACAGAGCCCCAAACTCAAACTCAAATTCAAACTCTCAACTAAAGACAACAGAGGAAAAGAAAATACAAACATGTCTATCTCCGATTTTCGCAAGAAGAAGCTGCTTTTCCTGTTCAACGTGTTCTTTGGTAAGTTCAAGATTTATAGGTGAAGGTGAGCGTAAAATAGACTTATGTGAAATTTATGTTTTATCAGCTGGCTAAACAATTCTTAATTGATGTTCCACTTGTCATACCTGCATACCAGTAATTCCGTTGAGAGCATCTTTTGAGTTGAACTTCAACATGTTCAATTCAATTTATGCAATTTAATTTGCCAAAATGTTTGCAGCACGCTGCGTATACTTAATGCTTGCTGAAATATACATGTATTTGCATAAGCTTACGTGCATAGCGTTCTCTGTGCCAACTGTTATCCCCCTTAAAACAATTGCGTAAACTTTGGCTTGTAAGCTTGAAATTCTTGGGCTGGCGCTAAAAAGTAGGCAACACATTTTGTTGTATGCAAAGCGAGTGTGCAACAAAGTCTGAGTGCTTTTCGATTATGACTAATTGTCAGGTAGTAAACAGTTGACTGTCGCTTTAGCGGCTTTTTGGCTTTTTGCCATGGCTGGCAGCAGCTGCTGCTGTTGGCGCCATAAAACGCAAGCGCCAAATACTCGACACTGCAACTTGAAGTGGCCATTTGCACACCGTTGCAACTGCAACTGCTGGCCAATGCAAATGACACGCCCTGGTTGCAATGGCCAGCAGCCAAAGAATGGGCGTGAACAAATAGGCATGGAGATCTGACAGGATGGAAGGCAGGAAGTGCAACTAGGTGCCAGCTGCGCGACCATGAAAACCGTTTAACTTGCATTAATGTTTATTTCCGTCCTTCGCTCTCTGTTTTTTTCATGCTGACAAATAACCAACTGACCAACAAACGTACAAAACATGCAAACAATGCAATTCATGCGGAATGCGCAACTGTGAATTCGCCAAAATAACGCGGGACCAACAGATGTGAACCAAAGCGGCGAAATTGACGTTAAGGATTTCGAGCTGGCCATCGAGGTAAGTGGAGAACGTCAAAATATGCCAATACAAATGTTGAATAACTGCAATTGCCACTGTCGATAAATATGCAAACCTAAGAATGTTTATAGACCAACAGCTGAATCAATACATGCAATAGAACCTGCAATAGAACGTTACGCCGAAGATTAAATACCCTTGCAAGCATATAACATAATATAATGTGATATAGTAGTATGATATTATTATGACTTGTCCAGACCAAATTAGGTAAAGAATTTTTGAGGAAGAAAGAGTATTTGCCTGGAAACAGTCAGTCATGGCCAATTCTATTGTTAAATATTATACATGTCTGCTTCTGTGCATTACGTATTTCATGACAAAGTTAGAATACCCTCTGTCAGCGTAGAAAAACAATAGAAATCAAGTACAACAATGTGCATGCTGAAAAGTTGGTTGGGCACATTTTGGAGCTCTGTTGATTTTGCATGGTATTTTTACGGGTGGTGTTTTTTTTTTGTTGGTTTTTTTGGTTTTGGTTTTTGGCAATTCACATTATTTTTGGTGCTTTTTGTTTAGTCAACTCGTAACTGATAACTCAATTTATGCTGACATTTTTTGTTGCTGCCATTGTTTTTTGTTTATATTGCAGCGTGTGTGCAAGCTGCGCGGCTGGGCAAAGGACACGCCAAAGAACAAGGAGACATACGATGTCATGATGGAAATTTGGACTGGTCTGCGATCGAAGGCTGACAAGGATAACGATGGCCAGGTGAGCTGACAGTCAGATTGAGTGCCGCTGTGGGTGTGCATGTCTGTGTGTGTGTGTGTGTGTGTGTGTGCGTGTGGCGACTATAAAAAAGGGCAACTGCATGTCAAGTGATTCGTTTTGGGATTCGAGCTCGCCATTTGAATGGCTTTATTGTCATTGGCAAAAGTGTTGAAATCCATGGACTGCACTCGATGCCATTGTGACAGCAGCTGACAAGTGGGCACCAACCACACAGACACACAACCACACACACACACACTTACACTTGCACACACACATAGTCGCACAGATTATATATGTATTTATGTATGTAGCAGCAAACATTACAAAGTCGTTCGCATGTTGCACGAAAAAAGTGTTCATAAATTTTCCTTTTATTAGTGTGGAGTGTGCAGCTGTGTGATGCTGGGGACCCAGGGGGTGGCTGGGGGGGTTCCGACTGGGTGTGCCAGTAAGCAAATTCCACGTCTACAACAATGGGCGGAAATTGAATTGTGAATTATTTGAGCAATGCAGTTGCAGTTCCGGGCCACGACTTCAGTTAGTTTTCTAGGCCGCTGCTCATTACAATGACAAACTTTATAACCGCTTTGTGCAGCCACAGGAAAGTATCCATGCTCATGGCATAATCTGACTGAGTCTGCACAAATTAAATCATGGGTATAAGCCAGTCGAGCTTGTATAAAAAGATGATGCCAGCACAAGCAGCAACTTACAGGACAAGTACAGGTGCTTGAGGCCCACACCATGCCCACATCACGGCTCTGGCTCTGCCGCACTTCGATTGTGACACAGATAGCCGCAAAGTTTTGGCCTTTAGCCAGGAACATGACGAAGTTCGCTGCAAATAAGCTGAAGTCAACTGTTTGCGGCCTTTGTGCAGTTTTGGCTTTGTGCTGGCTAGACTTGGATTTATTGTTGTTGCCCTAACTCATTTTACAGCTACACACACAGGCACGCACACACAAGCCAACAACATGTGCGAGCCAACAATACAAACGAAAACAAGAACAACAACAACAACTGTGACAACTTAAGCTGGCAAGAGACACGGTCAAGGATGTGCGGCCTTTTTGGCATTTCAATTTGGCAACGCGCACCACTTAGATGCAATAAACATAAAAAATATGCAGCTAGTCCGACTCGAGGGTGGTTGTGGTCTAGGGTCAAGGGATTGCGACTGGAGGAAGCAGCGGGGACTTGGACCTGTCAATTGGTGCTGCAATTGATGGCGCTGACCGCACATTGTATAGAGTTTTGCTTATTTATGGCCACATTAAAACATGGCCAACCGCCCGCCGCAAGACCTGTTATGGTCGGAATCTCTTTGACCAAAATTAACGTTTGCTCCACTAAAACCAACCGTAGTCAAAGTTCGTGCGCCGGGCGGGTCAAGGAGCCTCAGATTGTTCAATTTGGTCAAGGCGTCGATTGCTGATGTTGCGGTAATTGCCGTTGTTTGGTTTGGCAAGGCAAGCCAAAAAATGCTCATAAACGGTAGGGCATAATGTGCAGGTCGCATAAATTACAGCCCGCATAAGCGCCCCACCCCAGCTTGGCCAGCACCCCCCAGCCGGCCATTATGATGTTTTATGAGCAGCTACCCCGCCCACCTGCCGCTAGACGCCCTATGTGCTCTTCAACGCGTTTGGGGCGTTACGCATAAATCTGAAGCTTTTAACCCACTTTGACCCACTCTCCTGGCCATTCCTCCGTTCGCAGGTCAGCGTAGAAGAGTGGTGCAACATGTGGGACGCATACGCCAAGGATCCCAGCAGCGTAATGGACTGGCAGAATACGTACATGAACTTTATGTTCGATTTGGAGGATGCTTCGCATGATGGCGGCATCGATGTGACGGAGTTCACTCTGGTCTGCTCCAGCTACGGTCTGGACAAGAAGGAGTGCGAGGAGGCGTTCAGCAAGATGGCCCAGGGTCAAAGCGATGTGACTCGCGAGCAGTTCGCCGCCTTGTGGAAGGAGTATTTTGCTGCCGAGGATGCGAACGCGCCCGGCAACTTTATTTTTGGCAAGACCTCCTTCTAACTGCTGTACGAAAATTCCTGATCGATTTTGTCTTTGCCATTGATATATTCAACAAGAAAATATTGAAATTACATTCTAAATTAAAGCTAAATCAACAGATGGCTTCAAATTCTATTTCAATATTGACAATTTGTAGCCCAGTTAACAGTTGGCAGTCCTTAAAACTCTGACGTTGTTAATTAAATGTTGTTGTCAACTGTAACTCAACTTTTGCTCAATTCAATGTTCTAATTTACTAGCCTAATAAGTTAAATGGAAAACATCTAGCTATTATTTATATTTTGTATTCTACTTATATAGTATACGAGTATATAACTAATTGTTGTGTGTGCAAACTCAATATGAAAATGATATCTAAAAGCTCAATTAGAACAGGATTCGTGTAATCTGGTGAATACTGTTGATGCGTAAATTAAACCAATTAAACTGTCAAATTGTTTTGTGTGTGTAGTCGTAGTTTATCGTCCCAATATCTGGCGTTTAAATTTAAATGTAAATGTAAAGTGTTTCAACTAATACAAACAATAAATGCTAAACATCTAAGCAGTTGCACGCTCAATTTATGGGGCAAAAACCATTACTTGTTGCTGTTCCAGTGGGCGACGCCTTCCTTTTAAGTCCTTACGGCTACCGCAGGTTATGGACCCCGATAAGATCAGCAATTGGCTGGCAATTTATGAAAATTATAATTTTGTTCGCTGCCACAAATAACCTTCGGTTGAGCTGTATTGCCGAGCTTGGGTGCACTTCGCAGCGATTTACTGTTCCAATGGGGCGGCTACGTAATTTATGCAATTGCGTGCGTATAGAACTTGCTGTGGTTTTCTGTTTCTAGTGCAGCGCACTCGGCGTCGAAAGCTTTTTGGTTGGACGCTTGCAGCTTCAATTTAAGGTTGCTTGCGTTTTTAAAGATAGCGCCAAAAGCTCGCAAGCAAAAGCTCTGGAAGCAGTGTTTTATAGCACTGAGCTTTCGGTTCTGCTTTTATCCAGCCTTGCCACATGGCAAGTATAAGCTTTTGCCCTAGGTGGCAGCCCTGTGGATGGTAGTGAAGGTTACGCTGCAAATTGCCTATCTCTCTCCGCGCATCGGCATATCCTCGCGCGCTTCGCCAATGATTCAAAATAATTTTATCTCTTGAACAATCTTTTCCTTATCAGCCAAATTGAGAAACTTTCAACTAGCTTTCGGCAGACCTTGCATTTCTTTTGTGCTCATTTCTATTATATTCGGACCTTCGGTGAAGTAGGTCCTTATAGTGCGAAGAAAATCGGTTCCTTGTAAATCTGAACTAGCTGCTAACTTATAAAAATGTATTTACTTGTTGCTTTTCAGCTGAAACGCGCAAGGGTATGCAACAGTTTCGTTGAATGCAGTTAAATTTAGCTTTTCATTTTCCTGCCTGGAAGTATGCAGTGAAATTTGACATTTGGGAATATTTTATTTAAGCATGTATAAAAATGTTTTTAATATGAATTTCTTAACATTTATCGCTTCAGTTTCGTTCAACTGACTATTTTCTTATGACAGCCGTATCTGATTGATTATGAAGTAAGAAAACTTTTATATTTTTTATTAACTTTGTATGTATATTTAAATATATTAATTTTTTTCCATTACTATTTATTTAATGTTTCGCTGCTTAGAATAATAGAAAAAGTAGTAGAAATAGCATTAATATAGTGTAGTAGAAGTAGTAGTAGTAGTAGTAGTAGATACGTTACATTTAAATATTTATGTGTATTTATGTATATACGTATGCATGTAGGTATGCAGGTAAGTTAAGACTATAAATAAATGTAATATTTGTGAAATGCTGGAGTAGCTAGACTCAGTGCATGAGCAACTGTTGCTGTTCACAAGGATTTTGGCACATATGTGTTTACATTTGTATCTATGTGTGTGTGTGTTTAGAGTGATGGTATGTGTGTTCTATGGTAGGTATTGCATAGATTTGTTCGATTTCTATATTAACAATAACAAATTACTAAAATTAAGACCAAAGCGCTAAGATTCGTCTGGATATTGCAGAGCCAACACATCCACGACCGTTGCTGCTGGAGCTGGGGCTGCGGCTGGGCGAACGCGTTCGCAGCTGAGGATATTAGTTTTTTGTTTTCGTATGCTGCAGCGCGTTCAGCTCGTCCTTGAGCCACGTCTGCCAGTTCTCCTGCGAGGGGCGAAACAGAGTTTGTATACCAAAAAATGGCCAATGTTGTTACCAAAAACAAAGCGATTTGTATTTTCAGCTCTAAATTCCAACACCAAGCGAAGCCAAGCCAGAGCGTGTAATACGTACGATATGTAGCTACGAGTGTACAAATGTAGGTGTGCTTGTGGGAAAGGGGATGTGAGGTGGGGGGTTTTGTGTACGTATGCTAACAGAATCTACTATAGTTAGCCGTTGGGTGTGGCAGCCACTTTGCATCGGTTAGCGCTAATTGCATGTGTCAACAGAGAGCGAAACGGAGCCAAGTTTGCTACGGAAATCGGAAATGCTTAACTAGTAGCTTGTGCGTGTCTTTGTGTGTGTGTCTGTCTGTGTGTGTGTGTGTGTGTCGGTGCTTATGAACGCGTGGTGTATTTATGCACGCGCGCGCGTTAAAGTATGTGTGTGTGTCTCTGTGTATGTGTGTGTGTGTGTTGGGAACCTATTTGCTTTGGTTGCGCTTCAGTGTCTGAGCTTGTGTTTGCCCTTTGACGTTTTGGGCTTGGCTGTATCCGTTTTAGTCATTGTTATGCAAATGTTCATGATATTCATCATATTCGTTTTCATTATCCTCCTGCTGCTCGTCCTCCTCGTCATCCTCCTGCTCATAATCGCTAGCATTGCTCTCCGGCTGTGTTACATCCGGCAAATAATCCTTGTGCATGGGCGTTGAAATGATGGGCTCCTGTGTAGTTGTGTTTGCATATGTTCGTCCGTCGGTGCGGCCACGTGTGTGTGTGTGTGGTTGTATGCGTGTGTGTGTGTTTGGATATTAGTGTGCAAAAGCAAAAGTTAGTTAACCAAGTTAGTCAACAGCAACAACAACAACAACAACAAGAAGAGGAGATACATAGTAATAGTTGATAGCGGCGCATGCAAAGTTCCACGTTTTAGTTTAGCCAATTAGAAAGTGAAATATATTTTAGCTTGTTGAAACGCATGCTAACCTTTGGAGGCCGCCAGCCGCAGCCCGGCAGCGGCAGCCCGTCAACGCCCAGCGGACAGGGCGCGTCCAGTCCGGGCACGCCCTGTTCGCCCTTGTCGCCGCGATCTCCTTTGCGTCCCCGTTTACCTGGCGGACCAGCATCGCCGCGTGAGCCCTGCTCGCCGCGCGGACCCTCCTGGCCGGGAATGCCGTCGGTGCCCTTAAAAGGCGCACGGCGTCGTGTGTGTCATTGTACGTGTGTGCGTGTAAGTATGTGAGTGTGTGGGTCAAAAAGGTTGATACGTGTGTAGGAGGTTTTGCATAGATTGAAAACAGTGTACGACGCCAACAAAGAAAGAGAATTGCATGCAGACAAGAAAAAAAAACAATAAAAAAAGAAGAAACACAAATTATTCAAATTAGCAACCAGATAAGGTAGATAAACACATATGTGTGTGTGTGTGTCCGTGTGTGAGTGTGTGCGTGTATAATTACATATATACTACATACAATCAGATAGATCTGCGTGTGAGTGTGTATCTGTGCTTACCGGCAGACCCGGATCGCCGCGCTCGCCCTTGTGTCCCGTTTCGCCCTGTGCACCCTGTGTGGAAACAAAGATTTCAGTTAGACAAAGGCGAAAAATCGAAGCGGACATTTTTCTGAAGCTGGTTAATGTACCTTCATGCCATCCAAACCAGGCGGACCCTGTAGCAATTGAGAATGAGAGAGGAAAAGCGTCAGCAAATGCTTGAGGAAAAAAGAAAACTGTCGCCCGAGCGGCTCAAACGAACGGCCTCCACCCACTTTTATTGGGATAAGCTTTTGTTTTCTTTTTTGTGGTTAATTAAAGTTGAATATACAAATTAGTAAGCTCTCCTTCGGTTTGTGTTTTTTTTTTTTTTTTTTTTTTTTAGTAAAAAACCATCACTTTATTGAAAATGCATAATTAATATTTAAATGATATATTGTTTCATTAGCCGCTTTACAATTTGTTGCTGCCTGTCAAGAAATGCCTTTCGGAATAGCGTAATTTTCATAATTTTTATATTGTGGCAATTGGCAGAATTCATACGCACATTTGGCATGCATGCATACATGCATGCATACATGCATACATACATGTATGGATGTATAGACATAAATACACACAAATACATATAGATACATATTTGTTATTTAATTGGAAACACTTGGTTTAGTACGCAATTAACAAATGTACACTTACAACTACCATTAGCAGCTTATGAAGTTAATGACCAAATTGAATTGAAATTTATGTATAAATATATAATTTAAATTTAATGCTAATATTTAGTTAAATGTAATGCACATTGCCGATAGAACATATCTCCAGCGACCGCACAATTCATTATTCTAATCTATGGATCTCGGTTACAGCTTGAGTTAGTTAGTTAGACAAAAGTTCAAGGGTTTAAGTTAAGTAGAGTAAAATGTGAAAATTGAAGACAGGCGCAGTTAGCACTGTGGATAAGTTAGCTGTTCAATAGATGACTCAATATATATATATGTAAAATATCGTATCTTATTGTTAGTTGACATTTTATGTACACCATGAGGTTGGCTAATCTAGTGGTTAAAATAAAAATTGACATGCGAAATTGTTTGGATTTTTTTTGTTTTTGTTTTTCGGGAAACTTTTTCAGCTTTGGGAGCGACACATTTAATTGAAAACAAATTGACATACATATGCATTGTAATTTGCCAACACGTATTTGCATTAAGTCCTTTGAGGCTTTAGTTTTATTTGAAATTTTATGCAAATGCAGAGCAAGTGTTATCGTAGTTGAACATATAATAGATTTCGTTTGCATTTAGCATTTGTTATTTATATTTTTTTATTTTTCCACTTGACTGTGTTTTTATTTTTCATTTCGTTTTAATTCGATATAGCATGCTCGTATTAGTAGTCATAAATTGTAAATTGATTTTTTTTTGTATGTGCATTCTGTGCACTCGCTCAGATCGAAAGGTAGATTTGCATTTATTTATTTGAGATGTTCGATGAAACCAATAGGATACATAATAGAATTATGTATTTATTGTTAATAATATCCTCAATTAAGAAGAGAGCTTATTTGAATGCATTGTTGGTAAACATGTTTAATTGGGGTGTACGTGTTTGTGGGCTAATTATGGGAGATTGGGGTTCATTCTGAGGGCGCTTTGTAGTTCACCGGCCAGCCGATGCTATTGCAAACGTTTTGTTGTGTTCTCATATTCTCATATTTAATGGGTTCCCACACTTCAAATATGTTGTGTATACTAGTAGGTATATTTAAACTTTAGCCTAACTAATTTATGCTTTCAACGCGTTTCGTATTGAAGTTACATATAACACTGAAAAATATGCACAATTGGAAGATAGCTCTTTGTTGTTATCGCATGATATTACAATTACAATTTACGATTATTTTCAAACTTGTTATCATTGTGTATTTCTATGCATTTAATATGTATATTAAACAGTTTCTTTGTTGTAGACATATAACACATTCAAACACGATAATATATACGCAAACATTGAGACAAATTTCAAAGACATATATATATATATATATTTTTTTTTTCTTTACATTTTTCACTTAGGTTATTTAAAATTGAGAATGTTTTGATACTATGTATTTGCTGTTTACCATTTGTCAAGCACTGAAGCTTTGGCATTCCTATAAATTGAATATACGACAAAGCCTCTGGACGGCACCTAAGATAATGCAACAATGCGGCAACAGCAGTGGCAGCAGCAGTGGCAGCAACAGCTACAGGCAGCACTTAAAAGATTTTGACTTTGCGGCTGGCAATGAAATTTATGGGTCAATCAAGAAAGTAGCTAGCAAATTGAGTTACGCTGTTGCATCTGCAAGAAAGCCTTAGCCAAAATGCAGGCACAATATTATTTAGCTGCAACTTTCAAGTGCCACGGTGCGTATGATTTATGCAACAGCTGCTGCTGCATTGGCTTTTGCTTGAATGTACTCTCGGATAGGTGTACAGCGCAGTTTCAAATGAAATGCAATTACACTATTTGCATTGCATGTTCGTTGGCATGTTTGAGAACTTGTTTGTTTGCTTATTTGTATATTTGCCCCCTTCTCATGTATGTATATATATATATATATGTATATACATATACTTATATACTCAATTTATTTGGTTGATTCAATAGATAGTTGTAAATATGTTCGATCGCGTGTTTCTATAGAAATAATTATGTTTGTTTTTTTTGTTTGCATTTGCTTGCCTGTGTACATAAATACTCATTTGGCTCTGCTAAACACATTATGCCCGCAGCTCTGTTATGTTTCATTTGATATGAATGCATTTTCATACACATATTTGTATTATTTTGTATATTGTTTTTCGTATTTTGTATTCTGTGCCTTGCGTCCTGCAACTTGCATGCAATTTCGATATTCTCAATTATATATTAATATAGGGTATTTTTTAAGTGGCATGCGGCTGATATCGTATCGTATTGGGTTTCGCATGTATTTATGTACATGGGCGCTTGTATGTACAATTTGATATACATACATTTACACAGATATATATAAATATATATAAATATATATATATATATTTATATATGACTATATAGATAGACAATAAAACTGAACGAGAGCCAGCGTGGTAACATTTCCTATGCATATTTAGTTTGCTTAAATCATTTTTTCCACAAAGCTCAGCGTATATTTTTTAGTTTTGCCTCCTGTGCGTACGTGTGTGTGTGTTTGTGTGTTTGTATGTGAGTATGTGTGTGTGTGTTTGATAAGTTTGTGTCGCATTTAATTCGCTTTTCGGCGCAATGTGTTTGTTATTTATAATTAGACTGCACTTTTCAGTAAGTTGTATTAGTAGTCGCCCCACACCTGTTCCAGGTAAAAAGAGAGAGAAAGAGAGACGCGAGAACATATATGAGGTTAGAATTTGTTTAGTCACATTGACGCTTATAACGATTTACCAAAGCAAGATGATCAACAACAATTTTGTAGCAACATAAAAGCCAAACATTTAAATTTTAGTAAGCCAATAAAAATATGATTAAAAGCAAAAGGTTTGTTCAATTGTGACTTACCGGAATGCCAGCTTTGCCAGCCGGACCAGAGGGTCCCGACTCGCCACGCATGCCCATTGGACCCTAAAATGATATCATGAAATCATGAAACTGTTGCGCAATCTAATATGGAATCTGAAATACTTACCGGCAAGCCCATGGGTCCCTGATCGCCCTTGTGTCCCTTTTCGCCCTACGGAGAAGATAACATTATATAACAGAGCACGCCCGGCATCAAGGATTTTATTGACTTACAGGATCACCCTTACGTCCATCCAAGCCACGATCGCCTTGTGCACCAGTGTGTCCAGGTGGGCCCATTGGACCAGGTGGTCCGGGTGGTCCGTAAAGCTATTGTAAAAGAAAACAGCATATTGATTATGGGCTTTTGAATTGGAGGAGGCAGTTACTCACATATTCAATGGCAGGCATGTGTGGTGCATCAGCCATGCCGTCGTCCTGCCGGCGTCGCATCTTACGGTACTGTAATTAGATCGATTAATGTTTATCGATTAGAGTTTTCTATAAACGTGAACTCACCGAATCGCCGCGGTCGCCCTTGTCACCCTTGACTCCGGGATAGCCTGGTGGTCCTGGCAGACCCGGAGGTCCCATTAGACCAGGTGGGCCAATATCGCCGCGATCGCCCTTTTCACCGGGCGGCCCTTGATAGCCTGGCAGACCAGGCGGCCCTTCAATGCCCGGCTCACCAGGCAGGCCATCCAGGCCACGTGGACCCAGTGAGCCCGGCTCTCCGGGCTCGCCCGGCTCACCCTTGCTGCCATCGCGTCCGTCTCGACCGTCTTTGCCAGAAAGGCCTGGTGGTCCGGGTGGGCCACGCAACAGTGTGACTGGCGGGTCGTCATAATCCTCCTCCAGCTTGGTGCCGCCAGGTCCAAATAGCTGCTCAAAGCAAAGGCGAATGCGTTTTGTAAATGGGGGATGGAAGAGAGATATGTTGTCAAATTTAGTGGGAAGATTAATTTATGCCACGTGGCGCCGCCTGAGGCGTTGCACGCGCTCGTTCCACACACACACGTACACACGCTTTGATGGCGCAACAAATGCGGCGCGTTATTCGCTGCCATGAAGAAAAAACTTGGACTCCCCCTACCCCTCACTCTGGATGGACGGAGTGGGAGGCGAGAGGTGATGGGGGTGGTGGTGCTGCTGGTTTTGGGGGCGAGCTTTTGGTGGCTGCTGCGCCGCAGTGAAAGTCTTTTGTGTGCGCGTCGAAATTGTGTTAAGTGCAAGTCGGAGCCGAACCGAAACTCGCTCCGCAGCCACAAACTTAGACAATGCTGGCATAGAAAAACCTTTAAAATCTACTGGGCTGGGCATGGATCGGAGGTGTGGGTGTGCGAGTCGAAAATAAAGTCAAGCAGCGACGTGCCTCAAGTGCGGTGCGCGAGTTTGTGCCTTGTGTGTCTTGTGCATTGCTCTTTGGCTTTTGCTTGCTCGAGAGCTACAGTGAATGTGTGTGTGTGTGTGTGTGTGTGTGTGTGTATGTGTGTGCTTGTGGGTGTATGTGTGCGTGTGTGTGCATGGTGAGTTCCAAAGTGAAAGATAATGAATTGGTTTTGTGCGCTTCACAAGCATTTCGAGGCATATTTTCAGGGAGCCAACTGCATAACCAACAAACACCGCATGCACATCGATATAGCCACAACACACACACACACATTCACACCCACTCACACACATATATAGCCAGTTGCATTTAGGTCGCATTCGGTATCGTGAATTTACCAAAAGTACTCGGGCGTTAAGGTTGCCTCTGGCATATTCAGGCTGCAAGACGCCCAGTGGTAGCAACAAAGTCTATTACGAAAATGTTAAGGCCCATAAAAGCAACAATACAAACAGCTAAAGAAAATAGAAAACGTTTACATACGTGGCTCAAACGCAAAGGGAGACGCTTAGAAAAAGTATTCAATGCCGTTTGAGAGCCGCAAGGAAAAGTGGCGCAGCAAGGCGCAAATCGAGCAACAATGGAGCTAAAAGTAAAGTTTTCAATATGTATCCAATTTTGTGTACACACACATACGTATATGCTGTGCAACAAAGAGCTTTAACATCGTATCTGAGATAACCTTTTCGTTTTCTATTTATTTTTTGCTGGCGCATGTAAAACAATTAAGTTTTATTGTATTTCTTGTTGCACATGCTTGACGCTTTGTTGTCTAAGGAAGTGGCGTACTTACAGATATTAAAGTACAACAAAAACAATAATAACACTGAGATAGCATAACAATGCAATACGCTTAACACACACACACACACGCACACATATGACTGTGCCCGGGCATATGCTTAAGTGATGCTACGAAATGGCGGCCGTTTGCTTGCTTAAATGCACAAAAACAAAAGATATGCCAGAGACAAAAAACAGAGAAAAAACAATAGCAACAACAAGAACAGCATGGACAACTTAAACGTAAGTTGTAACCATGCTGGGCGTAAGGAGGAGTGACAGGAGCAACGACCATGACGCCGTCGTGGCTTACCGCAAATGCAGTTGCCAGCGCACGAGTAACTTTTGCCCCTTTATGCATACTCATATTATGCGCAGCTCATCTGCATCCAATGTGTGTTTGTATGTACGTGTACGTGTGTGTGTGTGTGTGTGTGTGTGTGTGTATGTCTCGTGCTCAGCTGGCACTTTGTTGCAAGTTTTACAGTTTTACACAATGTTGCCAAGGGCTCGGGCGTGGGTCGGTTTTCTGCCTTGGGCTCTACTGAATTTCCGTTTCCGCTTTCCGTGCGCGCCATTGTTGGGCTTTGGTGATTAGTCGTGCATTTGTTGAGCAATTAAAGCGCTTGAAATTTAAGCGCACGCTTAACATTTGCTCTGCGTGCGGCATTGGCGATAATTAAGGCACATTCAGCGGGCTTAAAGTGCCCACCTCTCGCATCAGTTAGTCAGTTAGTCAGTAAGTCCGTTCGTCAGTCGGTCGAACAACAAATGCCAGCGACAAATCAACGACGGCAAACAAAAAGGTACGGGCCAAGGGTTTAAAGGCTTTAAGGATCCGACGCCAACGGCATTTGCGATAAATAACATAAATAAAAGATACGGAGCCAAGTGAATTTGGGCAAATGTTTGTTAGCCATTCGCAAGGACGATTCTGTTGGCGCAGCTGCCTAACTACGATAAAAACTTATTGTCTGCCTTTTCGGCAGCCTCTTTCGCTCTGTGTGGGCGTGACTCGATCTCTGTGTGTATTTGCGAGCGTGTGTGTGAGTATGTGTGTGTGAAATCCATTAGAATGTATCAATATTTGTGCGCCTCGAGTTGATTTTAATTTCCAACGTATTCAAGCAAACACACTCGCATACACGCATACACGCACTCACACACACACACACACACACACACACACACCTACACATGTGAGATGCTTGTATGCTGTGAGGCATTTTCTTAAATTATGCGCAAATTTGTTTTATTTGCACAAACGCTTTTCAATTTAAACTTTGACTCGCTGGCAACTTACAGCATACTTTCAGGCGCCCTCCATAAGGAAAGCACGAAAATGTTTGTAATTGCAAAGTAATTGCCCGGCTATCAAGGGGCGTGCCCAACGCCATTCGCTTGGACTTCGGTCAAGTGGCGCGCACGGATATTGGAGTATTTTCAACGTGCGCTTAAATTCCATTGAAATTGCGTAGACCAAATCAGACAAATGGCCGCACGTAAATGCGTTAAATTGAAAATCATTTTGATCTCGGCGCGACCTTTTTTCCAGCGACACTGCTTGCCGCAGTGAGGCGTGGCCAACGCCCACGTTCGTGCTTAAGTGCAGCCATATGCCGCAATACCGCGTTGTCCATGGCATCTGTCTGTTTGTGTGCGTGTGCGCATATTTTTTCCATTTTTTTTTTTGTTTTTGTTGTTTTTATAGCAGTTTCCTTTTGAAATTTCATATTTTTCATAGCCACAGCAACCGCAGTTGAAGCAGCAACAGCAACAAGCACAGCGGAACAGCTGAACACGGCCCGAGGTGAAAGTTTTGTAGCCCGTTTCCGGCTCACACTCACTCACACACACACACACACACACACACACACACACACACACACACACACACTCAATTCCTGCTTCGCCCTTCGTTCGTAGTTGGCGCAGCCATGTAATACGTTCCCCAGTTTTCGCTTGCCACAAAAGTTTACAAGAATCACACAATGCCAGGGAAGTTCTTGGCAAGTACGCGGCCACATTAAATGCGTAATATGTTTTGCTACGTATCGACGTCGTTGACAATGGATCGAAATGAAAATAATTTAGTCAAATAATCCATTTAGCTGGAAGGACCTTAATTTATTCCCTGAGAAGGAATCCGAAATGCAGTCCCTAATTCAATTACAGACATTTGTTTTTAATACGTACTAAATAAAATATGAAAGCCCAAAAATACCTGATAAAATCTATATATGAACACTTAAATGAAAACTCTTCTAATATTGTCAAAATTGCTTAATATTCAAGAACTTACAACATAAATTTAAGGATCATGTCTTAAAATGTCAAATAGACAATTTGTTAAAAATTTTGAAAGAATACAACAATCAATTTAAAATTTCGACATCAACACTTTTTGATTATGTTACAATCAATTTTGCCCATGGTAATATATATGCAGCAGCAAGGAAAAAGTCAAGACGCGTTGTAAAAATTTCGCGTGATTTCATTTTGACGCTAACATTGTTGCTGATGTTGTTGTCGTCCTGATATTGTATTATCCCGGAAATTTGGCAGTATTTAGGGAAATCGTTGCTAAAGATTTCGCCATTCGCTGCCGCAGACACAGTTACAGCCACAGCAGTGCCAGCTGCGGTTGTGGGTGGGGTGGGTTGGGGTGGGGTGCGGTGGATTGGCAGCAGCAGCGTAACCCAACTTGCAAACGTAACATTATGCCTGTTTGGGAGCTGCAGCCCCAATGGAAACCAATGGAACCAAATGGTACCCAGTCCCACATCAATGGCAAACGCGTGCCTATAAATTTCCAGGGGTTTGTGTGTGTGCGTGTGGGCACACCCTTGTGGGCGGGGCCATTCATTTGGTGTCGCTAACTTGAGATTTTTATTTGCCAGCATACGCAAACGTTGCGTGCGCTGGTGGCACCGCCTGGATTTCTTTATTCAATCGTTTTTGTTGCTCCCACAGCGCCCTCATCATCAGTTGCCATAAAATAAAAGTTACGCACACCCCAGGGACAACATAACAGGCCACACACACAGACTCGCACACACACGCACACACACATGCATGTCCTGCGGCATGGTGGCAACCATGGCATGCTTGACCGATTTTGTAAGGTTTCATTTTCAATACGGAGAGACATATGAGCAGTGACCACAAATAATTTCCATAGCGGCAAAATGGAAAATTGCGAACAAAAAATAGAAGAGTAGGGAAATTTGCATGCTGCGCAGTTTTCAATGAACAATGACGTCACACACACATACACGCACACACGCTCGATAAGGAACACAGCAGTTGACACAGCATTGCAGAGGCTTATCAAATCGAGCTATAAACCGAACCCAACCCAACCCAACTCAAGCCAACTCAACTCAAGTCAAGTCAAGTCGAGCAGAAGCAATGAAAATTCAGCCTGAGATTTTCCTGGGCTGGAGGAAAGTGCTAAGCTTATTGCGTCGTTTAGGCAACACCCGAAACGAATTGCCGGCGAAAAGACGCCAACGAATGTGAACCCTTTGAGTGACAGACATGAAGATATAAGCACACATCCAAACAAAGGCGCACACTCACACGCACACACACACACATACGCACACACTAAACGGAGCAGTCGTTTAGACTTTTCACGTAAGCAACTTTAAGGCTTTCATTTGCAAGGAAAGCTGTGACTGGCTTCAAAGTGGCGCAAAGTGTCGCCTTCGCGTCGTCAGTGGTGCGCCACATGCGAGTGAGTTTCTGGCCAGCAGCTTTCCGGTCGGGACATGGCTCATGTTACCAGGCAACTGGGCGGACTGTTGGGCGGTGTTGTATAACGTGTAACGGATCTGCAAGTTTTTTTTCTCTCTGTTTGTTTTTGTTTTTGCGGCAACGGCAACGGCAATTTTTATGACTCTATTTACCCAAGGCACACACGAGGCGCACAAGAAACTTGGCCATTGCTGCTGATAAGAAATGTGAGCTTGAAGCTACAAGCTCGGAACTGGGAGCTGGGAACGCAGTCTGGGAAATTTATGCAGATTTTGAGGCCCAAAAGACAACACACACGCTGATGTGACATGGGCATGGGTTGAGTAAAGTGACTATTGTAAAATATATTAACATAAATTTGACATAAATGCTTCAAGAACAGTTTTTACCGCAACGCTTCAGGCGGAGCTTGTCTAAAAAATATGTGAGTATGTGTGTGTGTGTGAAATATTGTTTCAACTTTATTAAAATAAAAAAAGAAATGGCAAAGCAAATCTAAAACAGCTAAAGCCAACGCGACGTCAACGCGCATAATAAATGGCAAATAACTCTGCAAATGCCGCCCGTTGCTCCGGTTGGACAGTCATTGGATATTCATCATACGCCCCGTTGCCCCGCTCTTCCATTGCTCGCAGCAGCGAAACTCGTCAAAAAGTTTGAAATTAATTTAAATTTTTAATATGTTGCCTGATCGTAAATTGTATATTAGATGCGGCAACGCTCGGAAAATGCGTCGGCGCTAAAATATGCAAACGAAATATTGCGTGCGACAAATGAAAGGACAATTTACTTTGGAGTGTCTCTCTTCAATTGGCTGCGCGTATATATTACATATATATATATATTTATAAAGGACATTTATCAGTGAACTTTGAGTGCAATGGAGAATCGGCGTCAAAATGAAAAATACAATCAATTAACATTTAATGCTGTACACTCAAACGAAAACATTTCCCACCTACTTTACATAAAGCTTGTCTAAATATATCTCTGCGATTCCGAAATTTTCTTGAATATTAGTCAAGTGACATTATTGCCGCATTTGATTTAAATTTACACATCAATAATTCATATACAGATCTTAACTTAATATTAATACCCATACATACATATGTATGTCGCCTGACACATGTGCCACACAGCTCAGTTTTGCGTAGAGCATTCATTATTCCATCACATCGCAACTCATTTGGGTCCACGTCGCCTCCTCCACTACACCCCGTCCAAATTCGTCCCCCTCAAATGACGCAATATTCCCATAGAACATATTATTCTGACGATGCGACGAGAATAACATGTCAAATTTATAATGCCTACAATTGCGTTTTTTATGGCCGTAGCCGACGCGACGACAGCGGCAAGAAACAACAACAGTGAGCCGAAGTTTTAATACCCTTTCTGATATACTTAAATAATTTTTTCTTTTGCAGCGTTCGTAATCTTAATCTTACTCATTTTAAGGAATCAACTAGGATTTCCAGAACTTAGTTGGCTGCCAATGCTTTCAGTTCGAGCAGTTGCATTTATCATGACGATATTTATATATAATCTGCAAGAGCATCGATGCGAGCGAATCGAAATTGCTGCTGCTTCGGCTATAATCATTTTGCCAGATGCAAAACCAACGCCCAAGGCGTCTTAGCAGGGGGCGTGGCCTTATGGCGCTAGACGGATAAATGTTTTCCAAAACGGAACACGAGCAATTTGAATTTTTTTACGACTTGCTGAACTAATTACACGAGTTTTTCATAGAAGCAACGCGCTAAATTTTGAGCAACTTTTATAGAATTTTCATATTTGCTGCTAAGCGAATGTGTTGCAAGTTTGAATGTGCCGCACGAGCCACCATAAGCATAATTTTTCAGCATTTCACATTATCATCAGATACATTCACATTTTCATTCACATTTCCATTCATCCGAATGCCTTGGCTTTGGTTTGAAGGCTTTCCTCGGAAAACCAAAGCCGCTGATAGTCGAATTGAAAAATCGACGCCCCGCTGCCATTGTTGCCGGGAGCCGTCACGTTTCGGCAGCTTCGGGAGCAGCCCGGCCTTCATCGAAGATGATGGCAATTGTTGCAAATAATTTTTTATGCTTAACATTGCCTCGGTGCGCCATGGCCTGGGCCTAAATCTGTGCGGGCAGAGAAAGGCGGAGATGGGGCGCGCGCGAACTTTTGTTTGTTGCCAAAAGTTTTGTTTGTTTGCCAAAGGCAGCCAGGGAGCTGCGACTGCCTGCCGTTTCTTATGACTTTCATTTGTTTTGACATCACGTCGCTGCAGCGCCTTAGCAATACAGAGAGAGAGAGAGAGAGGTTGATCAAGAGTGGCAGGGCCAGGGGCAGAACGATGTAATCGGCACATTCGAGCACCATGGCACGAGTGCGCATAGCATTGCAAATACTGTGGCAGGAGGCGCGGCATGCATTACCCGCAGCTGAAGCAAGTCGAGAGGTTAGCCAGTAAAGTTTGGCAGCTCATCTAACAAGTCTACAGATACTGTGGCATGTCTTGTATATATTTGCATTAGTCTGAGTATCTGAGCTATCTGAGCTATATGTACTAAATAAGTATCTTCTAAGTAGTAAGTTACATCAATAACATTTATATATATATATTCTTCATAGATGAATTGTCAGCTCTTGCTTAGCTTTGCAAAGCATTGAGACAACTCTCGGATAACTCGAAGAAAATCGACGCAGAAGTCATAAAAGCGAAGCTGCACGTTGCCAGTTGCCACTGCCGCTTAATGTTGTTCTTGGTGTTTGCTTCTGGCCGTACTGGAACTTGGTTTGGGTTTGAGCTTGCCGCTGTTTTGTTATTACGCGTTATTACAACAACAACAATATCAGCAACAGTAACAAAAATAACAGTAAACGCCAGAGCAAAGCCCATGCCATTGACGGGGCCAACAGCAGTTGGCCAAAGGCGTGTTATATGAATTTGCCACTCTTTGGCTTACTCTCTATGCGTGTGCTGTACAATAATCAGACTATTTTTACGAAAATTGGCAAAACGCGCAAATATTTGTGGAGTGGCCAAAGTAAAAGAAACAACTCCTATCGAAGCCCCAGCACATCTCCGTTTGCCACCGGCGCTTATGCATTTTTCATAACCTACACAAACACGTTCTAGATACATATTCATACGGCCCCCCTCACGGTACCCCACCTTCAATCCGCCATGCGTGCGGTTATATACACAGGAATCTTTTGCAAAATATGAGAATCCGTAGCTGCTTTCAGCGTGGTGTGCATCCATCAGCACGTCACGGGGCGGCAACAGCTGCCGACTGACTCACCAAGTGCCAATAAAAATGTTAAGTATCTTTGCACTGTTGACATTCCAGAGGAGACGCACATAACGTACGGCACAAATGCCTAGATAAATGTTGCTGATACTCCCTCTAAGCCAAAGGCATGCTGCACATAAATTAAACAGCAGATTTAAGCGCCAAAACATTTTTGACAATTTCGATGAGGCGCCAACGTGTGTCGACATAGTTTTGCGCGCCGCGGGCCGCCCTCACGCATATGCCAGCTGTTTAAAGGGTGTATCTATTACGCGCGAGCTCCAATTTAGTGTGCGTATCTGGCAGATACTTTAAGACTTAATCAAGGGCATTACATCAAGGTCTTTCCATCGCTCTGGATGTGCCTCAGGTCTGTAGCTGTAATGAGTTTAGTTTGAGAGTTGAGCGCATCTCCTTGGGGGCTACATGCTCATTACACAGTCAAAGGCACATACACATTTTGCTTCTAAATAGATTGATGTATAAACATACGTATGTACATAGTAAGCATGCAAGGTGGCGGACGCCAGGTGACAGTGCCTGCGTGCCTGGCCATGCGAAAGGATGCGGATGCGCCCTAAATATATACAGGTTACGTAGCTCTCAGCTTGCACAAATATTTACAGATTAATTTAACGAGTATGTAAATTATTGTGTTACGCTTCTACGCATTTTTACAAAGATTTACACTTCAATTTACATATTAATACATTTTCTTCATTATTATTGTGCTGTTTTTTCATCATCTTTTAATTTTTCGAGCTCGCACTTAATTTGCAGCCGCCGCTGTTTTCTAATTAAAATTGACTGCAAAGCGAGTTTTCGCATTGGTTATTCGGTTTGCCGTAACACTTACCCGCTTGCCCCGCTTGCCGCGTGGTCCTTTTTCGCCAGGCGGTCCGGCCGGTCCAATGGGTCCCACCTCGCCGCGTTCACCGCGGTCTCCGGGCGGACCTGTAAATTTAAATATTTGGTATTTAAAGTGAATGATTCCAATACAACAAAGTATACAAATATATGCAAGAGGCAGCTACACAAATATACAGTTACAGTTGGAAAAAAAGTCAAGTTACTTCTGCAAAATATGAATTCCAGAATTTAAATTTCTAGAATACTTTATATTTCAATGTAGTAATAAAATAAAAAAAAAACAAAACCAAAAAACAAAATTATAAAAAAGCTAATGATTATATAATATTTTTTGATATATTTCCTTTTGACTTCATATAATTTGTGAAAGGATGTTTGTTTCAATATCTATGTATGTTTCTGTTTAACAGATGGACTTCTATTTAACACTAATGCTTAACATAAACGTTTACAGACGGACTTGCGGTTAACACTAATGCTTAACACAATATTTAACAGACTGACAGCCTGTTAACACTAACGCCTAGCCTACTGCTGATTTGGATTTATATCTTTTAAATTTCATCCATCCCAAAGGTTTTTATTGCGCACAACTTTTTTTTAGAGTGCACCGCTTATATTGACGCTGACACGCGATGCGTCAAGTGTGGTGCAAACAAGAGGCGGGGCTCAGTCGTAGCTTTGTAATTACACCCGTTATTATCGCCGCTCGATGGACTGTCACCGTTCATCTGTCAGTCAACAAGCGTTTGTCGGGTTTTCGGTCAGCAATTTGTTCAACTGGCGTTGATGCTGGCAGCGATAAGCGGCAGTTGCTGCTCTTGATGGCTTTCGGGTTTAGTTTGAAATGCAAATTGTTTATTTGCCAAAATAAAATGCCTAAGGCCAACCGTGACCCAAAACCGCTCGTTGTATGCTAATGAAGCGTGCGGCTTTCAAGTAACTTGACCTATTTACCTCAGTTGCATTTTGCTGCTGCATTCATTAATCATTCAACGTTTATCACTTAAAATTCTAGACATATTTGTACAGAGTTATTCGATTTATAGTTAGTATTATCTTGCATTCAAAATATGTTTACGCCGTCAAATTACATTTTCATATGCTTTCGGCTGCTTCGAAGTCTGTCAACATAAAACTAGCTTTGCTCCACTGTGGCACTGAAAAGCGTCGACTACGAGAGAACAACAACAACAGAAACAACGACGATGTGACGACCTGTTTAGTTAATATAATGAGAAATTGTTTTTCTGGCTGAGGCCATTAAATGCGACCATTTATACAAGGCACACAGACGCACACACACACACACACACACAGCCACAGACTGGGGGATAAATAGACGTAACACACACAGACGCATACAGAATTCATATCATAGATAAATCCAATTGTGCGGCTTGTCAAAATATGCCTGTGTACGTGTATGTGCATTGTCCCAATGTGTGTGTATGTGTGTGTGTGTGTGTGTGAAAAGATATAGAAAATTTATTAAGTTCGTAAAATTGCGTTTGGGGCGGACCCGGCTCGTTGAGTTGCCAGGACACACACTCTCGTCTCGTCTCTTGGTCAGGGCGCATAAATTTGCCTGCCTACAGTCTGGCTGGCATTTGGTTTATGGGTCCTATGCCTCGCTCGTTCGTTGTTTATTTATAAAGTATTTTGCTGTTCCGCTTTGTTTTGGACTCCGACTCAGACTCGAACTCGGGCTCGGTAAGTATTTATGGCGGCATAATTTACCGTTAAGCATTTTAGGCGACAATTTCAGCCACAATCAAAACTATTGCTAGGAGCCGACAACAAGTTGACCAGCGCCGCGGGGCCTGAAGTGGTCAGGATATTGGATTGTTGGTCCGTTTGCGTTTCCCTTGGCATCTATCATTTCTCTCTCTGTGCTTTGTTTGCTGCTTTTCTGTTTGTGGCTTTTCCAAAAAGGCAATGCAGATGAAGTGCAAATGATAAGTTTTAATTTCGTACACAAAGCAAGGGACAAATGCAAAGCAGAGCCAAGCAGAGCCAAGCAGAGTGTAGCTACCCGGATGAAATGCAATCAAAATATATACTCAAATGAAATTCAAATAAATCAGCAAATAAATTGAAATTTTTGGTATTACAGTTGGGACTGGACCAGCTGCTGTCGCTGCCATTGCGCCAGCATTTCCTGCTCTCTCCTGGATACGCAAAATACAAATGACACATTAAATTGCCGAAACATCTCTCAGGTCCAGCTCTGGGCCTGCCCACACATAAAGCACAAGTCAGCTTAACTAATTACGACAACGATAAGATAAGCAGTTGACAGAGAGAAAGAGAGGAGAGAATGAGCCACAGACGTGGCGACCAGACGAAAGAATTCGAAATACAAATGACATTCAATTTATTCAAATCAAGCCCAAATGACTGAAGCCAGAACCAGAACCAGACCCTGACGCAGACGCATGTCCCATGAGCTGGCGACTCGATTCTGGCGCTGATTTCAGAAAATAAATTGCAATTTCATGTCCATCAACGCACAGCCCAGCACAGTCATAGAACTGTCCCAGGCCTGGGAGTAGGAACCATGGACAAGGGTCGGGCTCTGCGTTGGGCGCTTGGTTACTGTCGACAACTGTGGCTATCGTAGCAGCAGATCTTGTTTTAAACTAGCAAGAAATCTAAAAGCAATGCTCACAACATTAACGCAACTGCAACTTACAACTGCGACAACATCCAAACCAACAACAACAAGAAGAATTACAAATATAGCGCTTTGATGCTCTGATAAGGTAAGTGGGAGGCTGCTCGATGCGGGTCGTGTAGAGCGCTTAATTGATAGCGATTCTTGTTGTTCACATGCATTAGGGGTATTCTATAGATAGGAAATTTCGACTAAAATATTTCGGCTGTGCTGTCAATTCAAGTTTAGTATTAAAATCAAGGGGCATTAGAATTCAGGGTTGATCTTTTGTGGCTGCAATCAAAAGCTAACAACATCTAACAACAATGAGTCGAAAGGAGTTTGAATAATAATTACCTATATTAAATCTAGTTTTATTTTTAATAACAATGTGTTTCTAGGAATACATCCTCTCTAAAGCAATCCATTAACATGTAAAAGTATGTTTAAAAAATCATACAGAATCGTTTAAGGAAATATTTACAAAGAAACAATGGATTTGGTTTTCATTATGCTGCAGCATTATTGGCCCTTAAAAGGATAACATAGGCGATAGTTTTTATTTGCTTAAATAACAAAGAATATATATTCTTTATAGCTTCTTACTATGCTGACATTTACGACTCATCTCTATGCGTCTGAAGAATGTTTATGCCATACACCCTAAGGCTTGAGTATTGTTTATTTATTGCGCACACTTAAGACCCCTCATAAAACAATTGGTCAGAGAGGGTCCGAGTCGGGGCAAAGGTAATTACATAGTCTTACATATAGTTTTACCACATGCTGCATGCTGCATGCATGATTCTAGACATGCGCTGCGTCTGGAACGTGGAACGAGTAGCTATACTAATGAGCCGCTAAAAGCAACATAAATGACATAAAGTTGCGTTTTTATGACTGCGGTAAGTGTTTCAAGCTGTCCGGGTATACAAATTTTTATGACAAACGCCGGATTCAAATTCGGATTTGGATTCCAGAGCGTTTCAACTATTTGAACGGCACGCTTGGGTTATTTTCGTTTATTAAAATCGCATTAAGTGCAGAAATATGTTAGGCCAGATCGTAAAAGCAGCCAGCAAATGGAAATTGTACGAGCTGTTGTGGGCGAATGGGCGTGTGCAGGGGCCGGACATCGGGGCGGAACGAGTGGGCGGCTGCTGCCAACAAATTGTGGGGCATTTAATTGACGTCGACGTCAAACTTTGCGGCATGCGGCAGCACACAAAACACAAAGGTCGTAAATGTTATCGCAAAATGCGGCAGGCATACCAATTTCCAAATGTGGAAACAAAAAAAAAAAAAAAAAAACAAAACTAAAACTAAAAAGAAAACTATATTTAAACGAGAATATTTCAAAAATTTGTGCGGCCATAAAAACAGCAACGGAAATGCACGGAACGCATTTGAAGCTACGCATTTGGTATTTGATTTACATTTTAACGAGCTGATTTTCACACCAAAGGCCCAAATCAAAATCCAAAATGGGCTCTAATGGGACAGCGCTAGTCAATGACTCAATTAGGTAGGGGCCAGGGGCGAACACTATTCCCAGAGTCATCTGGCAATAAATTAAACAACCCGCAGTTGAGCAGCCAAACAGCCAAACGTTCGCGTGGCAACACTTGAAAAACCCATCGAACCGATCGATTCTCAAACATCAATAAGCTGCGGTTAACGTAGTTTACGACTAGTCCGGGTGTATCTGTATCTTTAGCTGTGAGTTAAGTGGCCCTCAAACAAAAACAAACTGAGAGGCAGCTGGCTCTAGAGACACTTACCAGGTGGTCCAGGCGGTCCCGGCGGACCCTCGATGATGCCCGTTGGGAACTCGTCACCCTTGATGGTTGTGGTGAGTCCACGATCACCACGATCGCCCTTGTCACCCTGTGAACGAAAAGCAAACGATTGAATGAGTCACAGGGCTGCATCTGTATTGATATCTGACTGTTGGAAAATTAAGTGGAAATGCCAAGGCAAAAAGGTGACACACAGACATAAGAGACATGCGAGGGGAAAAAGAGAGGGGCGCTTAATACATAAATAAACGATAAATAATGTGGAAAACCGACAAAAAGACAATGGGAAAATCGGAAAAACAAAAGCAGACAGCACACGGACAATGCATATCCCAATCACACAACACACACACGCACACACACGCACACATACACAAACACTCACGTACAGACGGACGATGGCTTATTCGTAGTCACTTAAAACGTCACAGTGTTTATCCAACAGATACAAATAGTGCATTAATCCTTGAGACATCTTTGTTTTACTTATGAATCGTTTTCAATCCCTATTGTAGCCGCCCTCTCTGTCTGTGTGTCCCTTTTGGTAATTCGGTTTTTGTTTTCTGTGAATCACTCACCTTTGTGCCAGGTGCACCCGGCACGCCGGGCGGTCCAATCGGTCCTGCCTGGCCGGCCTCGCCCTGTACTCCCTGCGGTCCAGTTTCGCCAGGTGGTCCACGCTCGCCGGGTACGCCTGGATTTCCAGGTTCGCCTGGGGGTCCAGGCGGGCCGGGCTCGCCAGGTTCACCCTAGATTATTGAAAAACATGTTTATTAGCATCAAGATCCCACACATATTCCGCTTAAATGGAGAGGCACGTGCAGCAGACAAAGATGAAACCACATAGTAGGAGGCATGCAATACATAGAAAGGAAGAAACACCAGGACCCAAAAACTTACCTTTAGCTGTATGACCGTTGAAGCGGATACGTTAACGCCCGCTTCTTGCAAGTCCTTACAACACACACACATAAAGGATTTAACGAAAAATGTTCAAAAGTAAAACAAAATTTAAATTGGTTAATAAAAATATAAAAAAAAATTAAATTTAATACAAATGTAAACATTAGCTGCTGCAAAGCAAATTTAGTTTCAAAAAGCTAATGGAAAAGTTTTAATAAGTAGATTTTTACAATTACACAAAAATAAAAGCTTACATAGAAAAAACGAACCACAAAATAAACAAGGAAATTAAATCGTAAAGCTAATCAATTAAGCAAAACCCGTGTTAATAAGGAAAAAGGCAAATAATTTTCATAAAGAATTAACGCCCTGTTTGTGTTTTTATTTGACTCAACTCAACAAAAACAAGTAAATATTGAAAATACATTTGCAAATATACGGACACTTTTTATAATAATTCAATATGTTTGTACAATGTTTTCATATTTATACTACGTTATGGAATACTGTCAAAAGAAGTCCATGAATATTTATGGCTTTTACTATAAATTGATTTTGTTTAAACAGCCAAATGCAGGAAAAAAGATTTTAACGAAACGGAATATTTCCGAATGAGCACGCAAATCAGAAGCCGAACGAGTAGCTAAACGTGGCCAAGATAAATGTCTGTAAATTATTCAGGCTTCTATAAAATAAACAAGAAACTATATCAACTAACATGAAAGCAATGATAAAAATTCCATGTGAAATATTCGAAAGACATTTAAAATTGCACAAGTACACGCATTACGGAATGGGCGTCTGGTATGCTACCCAATGCAACAAAATGACTAAACAGAAGTAGCAACAAATTTATGGTGCTGTTTAAACCAAAGAGCTGAGCCAAGTTAAAAGCATTACGAACAACAATGAGCAGGATAGTAAACAAGTACAAATATAAAGTACAACAACAACGACAACTACAATAAAAACAACTACAAGTGCGTCTAGAACGAAGGACAGGACAAGTCCAGAGGACAACAAGTTGCAAATATTTGCAGCTCTCTTGTCCAACTGCATTTTGCCTTGAGATATGGCCATGGTCATGTGCCACAGTAGCTACTGTGCGGGGCGGGGTTGGGAATTTGGTTTAGGTTTGGAGTTAGCGTTAGGGTTAGGGTTAGGAGAGGGCTGTCATGTCTAGAGTACGGCAGTTGAAACGTATTTATGGCTGAAAAATACCTTAACAGCTACAATTTCCGCATAGCCCAGTGTGCCGCCATGCAGCGTTGTCACCGATCTCTTGAGGCCCTGGGAGAATGCAGACAAAGCAGAGCAGAGCGTTTGGTTAGAGATTTGCAAAAATTTTAGGATAACATTTTTGGATTTCGATTTTCCGATTTCGTATGCAGATTTGCAGCAGCCGATTTGAGCAGAACCGCGATTTACACTCACCTTGACTGTCTGGAAGACATCCACGCCCGGATGGCCGGTATCGCCCTTTTGGCCCTTGTCGCCGGGGTTACCAGCAGCACCCTTCTCGCCGCTAATGCCGTTGAGACCCTGAAAAAAAAATAAAAACAAAAAAGTTAAGCACTTTCACATAAAAGAACTTCATCATCTTCTCCCCTGAATACTTACCGGTTCACCCTTGTCGCCGGGGTCGCCCTTCTTGCCGCGCTTCCCTCGCTTGCCGGGCGGACCGGGCGGACCTGGTGGACCTGCAATTGAAATGCAATTTCGCTGTCAGTGGAGAATTGGTAAAGTTTTTTTTTCTTATTTTATTTTTAAGTTAACTGCAAAGGGCAAAGTCTGACTTGTGTCTTAAGGTCAACCGATTCCGCCTCATTAGATGCGCTCTGAACTTTGCAGCTGACCGCAGCCTGCGTCCAGTGACACAGCGAATTCTGAGCCAGGCGCTACTTTTTCCAAGTTTGCTTCGTTTTTTTTAAACCGTTTTTTTGCGCATTTTGCCCGCAACTTTTGCAAATTCATTTAGCTGAAAAATGACTTTCGCTGCAGCAGGAAGGAAACAAAAGGGGCCAGTGTGGGGCAGAACAGAAACTGTGCACAAAATATTTATAACCACTTTGGCTGCTATTATTTCAGCGCTGTGGAAAACTTTATCTGCTGCCGCTGGTGCTGATGCAGCAAGGAGCAGCAAGAGCGCTGCGTCACAAGCAGGACAAAAACTCGACTCGATGCTTTTCAATTATTTCGCATGCAATTTTACGGCGCATAAAATTTCAGGCATCGTGCCTTGTAGCTAGTCCTGGCAATTATTCTTATTAGAAGCGACCTTTAAAACACTATCTGCTGCTGCTGTTGCTGCTGTTGCTGTTGTTTTAGCTGAGTGTCCTTTGTTGTTGCCTGGAGACAGGAAATTAACACCTACATAAAGGCCAAGACAAGATGCTGGCAGCGAAATGAATGTCTGGTCGCGTCCCTGGGTTGCTCAAATAAAGTAGGTGTGAAAATATTTAATTAAAATAACAGCCAGCTACAAACATGATAACAAAAGCAAAAAATATATAACAAAAAAAAAATGAGAAAAACAAAAGCAACAGGAAACACGCTCCGTTTTTACTTTATACTTTTCTTTTATTGTTGTTTTTTTTTTGGAGCTGGAGCTGGCGGAGAAAAAGCAGACCTTTCGGCTGCTATTTAATAATTGTTGTAATTAAGTAATTCCGTTTCTAGCTGTTCTCGTAAAAAGGTGCAAGTGAATCTGAAGAAAAGTCCGGAGTCAGAGCTGCCGAGGAAGCTGCCTTTAATGCAGGAAACGCCAGCAAACAATTTAAATTCATTTCGCGCCAAAATGACGCCACAAACTACCAAAGTGAAAAAGGCCCGAACCGAACCGACCCGACCCAGCGCGGCACGCGTCGCTGTCTGAATGTGGGCGTCTGTATGCACGGGTGTGGGTGTGGCAGATTGTGTAGGTGCGATGTGAGCAGCCACAGGCAGACGTACGCCAGCCAGCATGACTCCACCGGAGCAACGCCCCTCAAAGGCAGGCAGCTCATTTAATTAAAAAAAGATTTCATTTACCCCGTCACATTGGGCTAAGAGCCGGGCAAACATAAGAAAGACCGTGCTTTAAATTACATACAATGATCGGATACGCAAGAAAGAAGAAGGTGTCATTAAAAGAAATTACCAAAAGGTAAAGAATGATGTTGGCATTGCACTTGGTTTCCTCTAGTATCTGCCAGAGAAATTTCAAAGTGATCCACTTGTGAAACAGACAAAATTGTTTCCTGACTTAGTTTTCTCTCAAGCTCTCCTATCACGAATTATGCAATCTAGTTATAATGCAGAACTCTTTTAAATATTTCGTATTAGTTAAGACAACTATGCACAGAAGATTCGGGCTGGAACTTTCGGCATAAATATAAGTTCTCGGCCATATTCGCCGTTGATATTTATAGGCTTGGTAAATAGTTTGAGAGTACAAGCCATATGTAATGCTAAAAGTTTTATTCTGTAGACCAAGTACATCACGAGTATCTACTCGCGGCCCACTGTGCAGTGCGGTGGCAAAGTAAAAATTATGCGCTTACTGTGCAGCACTTGCCAAGTAATAAAAGCTAACCAATTAAGCGTGGATAAGACGCAGGCACAGCTTGAAACAATGGACGGCCATTGCCTGGTTGCTTAGCTTAGCGCTCGGGGGTACTTGAGGCAACTTTCGTAACTTGGCCAACTGGGGCATCAAGTGTCGTAAGCCAAAGCCAAACGGAAGTGCCGCAGTGCCAAAGGAGTCGACTTAACAATGCCATCGGAAGTGAGCGAAACAAAAGCAAATGGGGCAGCATTAGAAAAAGAAGAGGGGAAAAAAAAAAAAAAACAAAAATAGCGCCTAATCTAATAACAACATAATAATCATAATCATAATATCATTTTCCCTCACATGCGTTGCCATCTTTCCCTGTTGGATTGCCATTAACGCCGCATTTTTTGTATTTTCGTATTATTTTTCCGTTGATGGCGGCGACGGTTGCCGCCATTTTGGCTAACAGTTTGTTGCCTGTTAATGGCGTTTGTTGTTGTTCTAGTTGTTCTTGTTGTTGTTGTTGTTGTCTAATGCGCTAAGAAATCCCATTGACATGGCCAGAGACTGGGTGGAGATAGATGGTTCTCAGGCAGGGCAAAATAAGTGCGGATAAAGTTGTTAAGTCAAAACTTTTCTTGTTGTTTTTTTCCACTCGCTGACAGAACCATCGCACTTGATTATGATCTTGATAATGATGATAATATATGAATGTAACACTCTTGTTGCTGATAATGATGATGGCAATTGAACGCTCTCAATGAGCGCATGATGCAAGTCGCACACACTCACAACGCCCATAAATCCATATCGAGATGCTGTCCTCGCACTTAAGCCCCACCCTCAACCCAGTCGAGTAAACTAAATTGGCATTTACTCCAAAGCCGTTGCCACTGCGGCAGCGTCAACCGTCCGTTCAACTGCTGCAGTAGCAGCAGCTCATCCCCTCGTTTAGCTGTAGGATGAGTGGTGTCTCCGGTTGGGGCTGCTTCTGGCAGAGCGGAAAAAAGGAATTATGTCAAGTTGTGCGCGTAATAAATACTCGGAATCGTTTACGTGCGTACAACACCACAATGACACGTACAACAAACAAGAGCTAAACAAGCCGACAAACATTCAGACAGCCGGATAGACAAACAGCCAGACACTCAGACAGTTGGACAGAGACAGTGAGACAGTTGAATGGAGGCAATTGACTCGCAACACGGCAACTGAGGTAGCTGCACAGCAAATGATCCACAGGAAACAGAAGGAATGGCTAATTTACAGCTAGATATAACATTAACCAACTTTGCCGCCACACTTGGGATTCAAGGACTCTGATGTAATTTAAAAACTTGCTTAAAATAGTTCCACTAGCTTATTAAGTAGTTTCCCAAATATGCATCCCCCGAGATGCAAAGTGCATTAACTTTACTCAGATGGTGCAATATGTGTATATTTTCTAGCTAAAAATCCTATAGATATATGTAGCTATATTCTTGTATTCGTGTGCATGTGTGTGTGTGTGTGTCAACAATTGAGTTTCATTCGTGCAATGCAGTCAAGCGTTAAATCAGAGGCAACGTCTAGAGTTGATGATTGGTTTTTGGCTGGGTATCGGTTGCCTTTGCGGATTGGCAGTCATGTTGTTTGTACTTTGCCAGCTTGATTGCTGTAGTTCAATAAGTGTGTGTGTTCATGTGTGTGTGTGCGTGTGCGTAAATAACGCTGATCTTTGACTTGTGCGCCAAAAGTTTTCAGTCAGTGAAGCAAAACTTTGTTTTAGCAGGCGTCTGTCTAATGAGCTTAGACCCTTGGCTGTTCAGAATTTTCATTAGCCGCGCCCAGAAGTGGATTCCGTGTACACACATATTTATGTGTATGGCTGGAGATGTGCGTGTGTGTTTGTTTGTGTGTGAGTGCATCTATTTACTTAAGCTACTGCAGCAGCAGGCTGTGCATTTGCCTGTCATACGACATCCTGTCAAGGACGTCTGCGAGCAAAATGAACTCGCATAGCAAACACTGATGGTAAACTTTTAACTTGTGCCGTGTCGTGAACGACATTTGCTGCCAGCGCATCCGTTTGAATCCTGCAACGTTCCAATTGCAGCAGCAATGAGAAAAAGCTACAAAACGACAAGCATATTCATATGCGCTGTTGAATTGTTCTACGCGCTGTCGATACAACTGAGAAAACTTTCTCGTTATGGCATGCCTGGAGCTTCCATTCCCTAACATTTGCTCCTGTGTAGCCAGCAAGGACTCTTGATTTAATCTGGTAGTTGTAAGCTGTTGCTATTTTGTCTGCCAGTTGCCGCTGTGCGTCTTCAATAAGTGCATTTGCGTATGACAAAGATATGCGAGACGCAACGAGGGCAACAAAAATGTGTATAATAAAGCATAGCATCTGCTGCAGCGCTGAGTTGTTGTGTGTACGTGTACGTGAGTGTATGTGTTTTTTTCCTGCAACAGCAAAACTCCTTTAGTTCGCATTCATGTCCTTGTCCTTGTTCCTTGCCCTTGTCGCAAGCATCTCCCGCGCTGTCCCTTCCTCTTGTACTTGCTTGATAGACGATACTTTTGGCGCAAGAAATAATTCTCCTCGTTTTCTTGACTAAAGTCTGTCTCCTTTATCGCTAACGGTATTTTGTTTCGTCCTGTGTCTCAAGTTGTTGTCGCGTTTGCTACAGTTTTACTGCCCGAACGATACCCACGCACACGCACACAAACACACAGATCAGCTACATATACGTATACGTAGCCAGCTCTTATGCTACCAGAAAATCTATGTTTATGCATATGTTAGCTGCTACAGTGAAAACTGCAACAGCTGGCTGAACAGGTTAAGGTTCGCTCCACGCAGATTTATGAGAGCTCATTAAAAAAACCCGTTTTCGGCTCCAGTTAATACACAAGCGAAGCGGCGATAATACATTGGCCATAAATCAGCTGGCTGGTATATGTGTCATGTCTATTGGATAATTAAAAGGACATCTCAACAGCTTTTAATTAATTTAATAGCCAAATTTCAGCTTACGATTGTTAAGTCTGCTGTGCAATAATAAATCTTACATATATGTTACATGCATCCTTGTGGCCAGTAGTAGTTCATTATAATAGCCTCCCTTTGCCAAGGATACACAGCTGCACGCTAGTCTTATATGGACGAGTTATTCCACATGA